TGTATTTTGACGAGCCCGTAGGGCGAGTCAAAATACGGCACAACTCGTAAAAATACACAGCGATACTACACACCAAAACATCTAATAAGATATATATACAGCACAGCCACTGAGGAAAGAGCATGAAATAAGTACAACAATATATCAAGTGTTATTTGTACTCAACTGAGTCATGTTTAACAGTCGCGACTGTGTTTGGCTTTGTACATGTCTAAAGTTTGAGTTGTACGGCTCTCTCATTTCCCACCGAAACATTCATTCTGGATCAGAAGTGCACTTTTTTAGGCATCTGTTATTTAGGGCGAACTGTCCAATCAGAACATGCGTGGTATATTTGTTATTTTATGATTCTTCCTCAGCAAATGCTGACCCAGCTGCGGACCATTTTTGACCTGATCATTCAGTTCCAGAATGCTCAAGAGGCATTCTTTTCTGCCGCAACCACTGAGCTGCAGTCGAGGCAGAGACTAGAAAAGGCCGTTGAACTACGAACAGATGAGGTTAGTGTGTATTGTTTTTGGTTGTAAATGGTTTTACGGTTGGGGTTTTTGACTCTCAACACTTTGGGTACATTATGAAGAATAAAAATTCTCAATTCTTCTTCCTTATAAACATTGTGGTTCTCAACTTGAGAACTTGGTGCTCCCAAATCTTGAACAGAAAAATCCTTCCAAAGAAAAGCCCTCTCTTATACAATGCCGCAGGTTTATGCGTGGAATTAGTTTTAGATTGTCAAGACGAACAAATTTTAATCAGATTATAAAGCCCCTAGTGTTGGAGCTGTTTCGCACTTGGTGCCTTTACAATATTTCAGGGAGTTTTGATCATTTTCATTTGTAGAACTTGTCTTGGGTTTCACCAAATCATGTACAGTGCATGGGGAGTAGCGGAGGTTAACATGCAGTATGCTTCTGTGCAAGTTCCTTCCGAATGAAAGCTCAACAATTTTCCAAATTCACGTTTCACTCATCTGATAATATTTGGTAAACACACCTCCAGAAACTAACCCCACCCAAATATGAAACCTTTTAAACCAAAGTTACAGGGCAACTGCCTAAATGTCTAATCTAGATCTACCTAAATGTGTAATATCTATAACTGCTAAGTGCTTTTGATTTGGACAGGGAGAGTGGGGCATGACTGAATGGGACGAGGAAGAAGAAAGAAAGCGATCAGTGAAGTTTGTAGACAATGTTATTCCAGATACCCGTGCTCAGTTGAAAGTGCTGTCCAAGTCCTACCAGGTAAAGCTGTGAGCCTGTATCATCCTGTAAATTATCTTAGCTTTCTGACAGTCGCCTTGTTAGTCGGGACCGGGTTGTTGAAAGCTCGATTAAGCTAATTCAGGATTAGTGAGAATTTGACTTCAGTTTTGTAACTTCTTGGTTAGGTTTTCTGTTTTCATTGTTGTCCTTCCGTTTTGAGTTTATATAATCCCAAACTACACAAAACATAAGCAGTGAAAACATTTTTATACAAGAAACAATACTTCGGTTGACTTTTAATGCTGGGTTAGCGTTAACCGACTTTCGAACAACGCGTCCCAGGTGCATAAATGAGCACAAGAAAGCTGTTGTTTAACCTGATAAAATGACAGGAAGTATCTAGCATCCTATCCAGGGGGGAGTAGTCATACTTGTGGTTACTCGATATAAGAATTTAAATGGGTAGGGTCAAATTAATTGTTGTAATAACTACAGAAAATAATGGGGAGGGGGGTCACCTGCAGGTGGAAAACCCCCGGGATATGACGCTTTTACCTAAGAAGAGTAGCAACTTCTAATGGTATCATGGTGAGTTTAAATGTGTATAAGAGGTCTAGAGTCTTGTTAGAACACTCGTTTTTCGTGTAACTGTACCACTCTGATGTTATTTCTTGCTTTTCCTCGCAGGATATGGTTCAACAGTTCCTTATGATGCTCACTAGTCACCAGGACGTCAGTTTAAGATTCCTTAGCTTCAGGCTGGACTTCAATGAACATTACAAGAAAAGAGAACCTAAGCTAAGAAGTCCTCTCACACACAGATTCAGTAAGCGGGTCAAGACTCCGGTCCCGTAGATCTATCTCCTCTGTAACGGCTTTTTTTATAGACCTCATTGCAAGTAACGTCTTTCTTCGCAGTCTGACTTCAGCCTGCTGTTTTTGACAGTAACTGTGCTAAGTAACATGACAAATGATGACAACAAACTGATGTTGCAGTATTTCGAGTGACAGTGTTATTTCACCATCGGTCGGTGTCGATCCTGTTGACGATTGGGCAAAAGAATTGGTCAGACTAGTTGGTCGCTTTCACGAGTTTTTGTTAACAACATCCGTTGCTCCTTCGAATTATAGCTCATGTAGACGTATCCTTAGTTTTAGAAATACTCAGCTGAGATTTTTCAGCCTACACATCTGCCCAATTTCTATCAAAAAGAGTTTGACCTCAAACTTGACAGGTGTCTCAAACTTAAAACTCTCATCGCAGGAGAGCTAGATTTCTATCAAAAAGAGTTTGACCTCAAACTTGACAGGTGCCTCAAACTTAAAACTCTCATGGCAGGAGAACTAAATAACTTTAGGAACTAATCTTTGGCAACGAGTATGTTAATCCGAGAAATAACACTTAAAATATGTAAATAGTCCAAGGGTTTTTACTACAGGGTACATTATAGCTTAACAATGGTAATCAACATCAATGAACATAAATGCCTTGAGTGAAAATATATTAGTAGTCACTGAATTGTACACAATCAATACAAAACAAAAGGCTCTCTGAGCCAACTTTTTGACATTCTCAATGTTCTCTTTTTCGTTGGTTGAGTACTCTCAGCCTAAATTCCGCTTTTTCCACCCTGTTCCCCCGTAAAAGCTCCGAAACCATCAAATATACGTCTAAGCCTTAATTATGTACTAGTCAACGGATTACGACCCACCGAGGGAGATGAATTACTTCACTCTACTTCTAAGCTCTATCATTGCTTTCAGTGGTAAAAAAAAAAATAAACTGAAGTTTAAATGGTAATGGACATGATATTAACCGAAAGCCTAACTACAAATAATGTTAAATTATGCCATATTTTGGTTTAAACCAGGAAACGTGTAAGTTGTTTAACCTCAATAAGCTGGTTTATGGGTAAAACAATTTGTTAATATAAACATATGTAGGCTAAAATGGCCTGGCATACACTTAATCCAGGACTACTCGCTCAGTAGTTTCGGCATGGAGACAGTATAACCAAAGGATGCGGAACATTTTCAGAGGGTTCAGTTGTTACTTCTTAAGAAGGTCTGTACTTAAAGAGGGTCGTAACTGCAAAGGGTTTAAATACTTTCAAGTGGTTAATTTACTAACAGGCCTAGGGTGCATAACTTTCAGTAATTTACTGAGCGGTGTCAATTGTCGTATTGTTTGGGTCATCACTTTGGTAATACTTTGTTTATTGTACGTTTAGACATGCCCGCCATTCTGCCTTTGGAAGTAATGACTAAGTTAAACTATGTTCGGATGATGCTTCTATCCATCGATAGCCACCAAGCTGATCTCTTTGTAACTCAGGCCCCAGTAAAGTCTCCACAGCCTCTTTCTCACACACCTGTCAAAAAAGGGTGTAAGGATAAACATCTCAATTCTCGTTACTATTTCCATTTATGCTCTACAATTGCTTTGGGAGAATGTAGTTCTGGTCAATATAGTACAGTCCAAACTGGGTGTCTGGCCATGTCGCCCATCGTTAGCAAAAAGCTGTTAATATGTACTGAAGTAATGAACATTCAAATACCAAAGGGCATGCAAAATTTTCCGTATTGTCTGGGTGGTGTTCGTGTGAAGCGTGCTCTCCGGGTAAACATCTCTAGAACATCTTTAATTGGTGGAAAGACTATTTATAAAGCATACGATTTTGAAAAGTAACGACACAATGTGTAAAACCTAAGTTCAAACTGAGGAAACCTTATGCTCATTTAACTAGTCAAATCTCGCATTAAAATCAATTCTCTCTCGTTTGTTTCAGTCACGACAAAGTAATCATTCAACTACGGTCCGTGACTTAATAGAAAATCGCTTTAACCTGTAGAAAGCTTTAGTTCCTAACAGCGCAATTAGCGCCGACCTAATCGTGATAACATACAGCGCCCAATGTCCACAAAGCGACGTATGCATAACAGTGTTTCACTCGGATCGCACGAAGGTCTCCGTATTAACCGGTGTCCGAATAATGTAACAGAAAATATGAGCTTTTCGAAGGGACAAACTAGAATGTCCGTAATAAGCGGGACCTGGGGGATCGGGTACTCAACAATGTTTTTTTACGGAGAGGCTCCCGACACGAAGTCCAACCCCTTACCCTTTTATATACTATTTTGACAGAAAAGGTACCCATTTCGTTTTCCTTTTATAAAAATAGTCCCCATTTCATGTACACTAATTGCT